TGCATTTTTGAGCGCAGATTCACTGAGAAACTTGCTGTTTCAGCAACATTTAATTTAAAAACTGTACTTTTGAAGTTAAACAAATGTCCATAATTTAAATAAACTACAAGTTAAAATGGGCATGGAAATTTCTCTTTTTTGTATCGAAAAAATATTGAACCGTGAGACTAAAGTATTGAACCGAACTGAATCGTGAATTGTGAGACTAAAGTACTGAACCGAACTGAATCGTGAATTGTGAGACTAAAGTATTGAACCGAACTGAATCGTGAATTTTCTGTAAGTTTGGACACACCTCTTTCAAAGAATTTTCTATATTTTCATGACTATGAAAATTGTAGATTCACACTGAAGGCATCAAATCTATGAATTAACACGTGGAATTATATACTTAACAAAAAATATTGAAACAACTGAAAATATGTCTAATATTCTAGGTTCTTCAAAGTAGCCACCTTTTGCTTTGATGACTGCTTTGCACACTCTTGGCATTCTCTTGATGAACTTCAAGAGGTTTTCACCTGAAATGGTTTTCACTTCACAGGTGTGCCCTGCCAGTCAGCCAATTTTCAAAGACTGATAGAGCCCACATGTGAGGATAAAAACTCATGGATCTAACAGGTTTGGTCCTACAGTGTGTGGTGTACAGTCACACGGCAAGAGACAACACACCACACACCAAAAGATATTTCATTCACGAACATTCAGATGTCAGATTTTAAACCAAGCGAGACTTACTGAAGTCTCACGAGAATTCAGATGTCTGAGGAAAAATCTCACGTGACCTCCAGAGAGACGTGAGTTCAGAATAAATAAACATTTGCAACAAGGAAAAAACAATGTTGATCGTTTGTGGACTATTTTTACCAGAGGAAAAACAATTTTATAGGACTTTTAACATCCAGCAGACTTTCTGGTGAGTCATGACAGTTTTTTTGTGTTCTGTATTTTGGAATCCTCTCCGTGTTTATGTCACCTTGCTTTCTGATTGGCTGCACGTCTCATTCACAGGCTGAGATGAACACTACACACACTGTGATAAACATGTTAAATATCCCCGATTTGAGGCCGGAGCGTTCCCGACGTCCTACCGAGCCGACCAGATCAGTCTTAACTCACTACCCACAGTGGGAATATCTGCTATGATTATCTTTAGAGCCATCATGATAATCTGGACTTCCTTAAGATTGTCGGAAGGGCAAAAATCGGCATGATTTTCTTGTAGTGTGACTCAGGCCTTAGAGAAAAGGTCAATGTCACACAGAGTTCTAGCAGCAGACATCTCTAGAACAACTGTCAAGAGGAGACTTTGTGAATCAGGCCTTCATGATAAAATAGCTGCTAGGAAACCACTGCTAAGGACAGGCAACAAGCAGAAGAGACTTGTTTGGGCTAAAGAACACAAAGAATGGACATTAGACCAGTGGACATCTGTGCTTTGGTCTGATGAGTCCAAACTTGAGATCTTTGGTTCCAACCACCGTGTCTTTCTGCCACACAGAAAAGATGAACGGATGGACTCTACATGCCTGTTTCCCACAGTGAAGCATGGAGGAGGAGTTTTGATGGTGTGGGGGTGATTTGCTGGTGACACTGTTGGAGATTTATTCAAAATTGAAGGCATATTGAATCAGCATGGCTACCACAGCATCTTGCAGTGGCATGCTATTCCATCCGGTTTGCGTTTAGTTGGACCATCATTTATTTTTCAGCAGGACAATGACCCCACACACACCTCCAGGCCGTGTAAGGGCTATTTGACCAAGGAGAGTGAAAGGGTGCTGCGCCAGATGACCTGGCCTCCACAGTCACCGGACCTGAACCCAATCGAGATGGTTTGGGATGAGTTGGACCGCAGAGTGAAGGCAAAAGAGCCAACAAATGCTAAGCATCTCTGGGAACTCCTTCAAGACTGTTGGAAGACCATTTCAGGTGACTACCTCTTGAAGCTCATCAAGAGAACACCAAGAGTGGGCGAAGCAATAATCAAAGCAGAAGGTGGTTACTTTGAAGAACCTAGAATATAAAACATATTTTCAGTCGTTTCACACTTTTTTGTAAAGTATATACAGTAATTACACATGTGTCAATTCATTGTTTTGATGCCATCAGTGTGAATCTGCAATTTTCATAGTCATGAAAATAAAGAAAACTCTTTGAATGAGTAGGTGTGTTAAAACATTTGGTCTGTGCTGTGTATCTGTCAGAATTTTGACTGTGTTTTCAGGGTCTTAAGGCTCTGGTTGTTTTGCTGGATGCTTCATTGGTTGTCACGTATGACATCATCGGCAAAAAACAGCCTTTGTTTTAGATCATCACTGTTAGCTGCACATATACTGTATATAGTTCCATAAAGGGGTGAAAAACATTTGGTTGACTTTGGATGCTGTAACTCACAGGTGGTTGATTTGTTGCAGTTGTGTCCATGTCTGAAGTACTGTGGGTTTTCTATGATGGGGATCCTGTTCATTCCGATGGCCACAGAGTCCAGTCCAACATCCAGAGCACAGGGACTAATGATCCCATGGTTAACGTGATGAAGAGGGCTGGTAGAGTTCTCCTCACCACTCATCACTGCTCCTGGACCTGGTAAAGAAACCAAAGACCTGTTTTTTATCTTCCTGCTGTCAATGGGACAGATTACTGACTAACAGTTTGATTTTCTGGGAAACTTTTAAATAAATGTCTGTAGCATAGAAATGTGAATATAAACAGCAAGATTTTAGATCTGATTTTAGGATAGGATTGACTAACGTCAAGCAGATAATTAATTTTCTGATGCTAACAGTTAGAAGACTATGGAGAGCTGTTTCATTCAAAATACAATAAATAAATAAATACATAAATAAATAAATAATATAATTAATAAAGTATTAATAAATATTCTGTAGCATAGAAATGTGAATATAAACAGCAAGA